AGGCTGTGGTGTGAGCACATGATGGAGCTGCCCAGCCCCAGCTGTCCATCTGTGAATGCTATCACTTTCCTAGGAAAGCACAGGCTGTGGTGTGGCATTGCAGCACACGATGACAGACACAGACTGTGAGTTTAGCTGGTTTGTGTAGTGCTGACAGGAAAGAAATGTACAAGCCCTATGTCCCGCATTCCATTCCAGGTTCCAGATAGTAGGAGAGAGGAGATGGCTCCAAGTCATTCTCTGACCTTGACATGCATGCCATGGCACACCCACCCACCCACATGTCCTCCTGTACAAACACAAACATACATATGCACTTATGCACATGGACACACACACACACACTCATGTTCACATCGCACATGTACTCGTGTATACACTCAGGTACACGTACACACACACACACACACACACACACACACACAGGCAATCCTATACACACATACACATACAGACTCAAATTTTTAGATATAAAAATAAAAATCATAGAAGCAGGTGCTAGGCTGAAGAGGCAAACGCCAGGAGAGTTAACTGCACCCAGCTCCACATGGTAAGAAGGACAGATGTATCTGGTGGTAGAGCGGGGCAACCTAGATGTCCTTCCTGAAAGCTGCCCAAGCCCCTGGTCTGCAGAGCTCCTGGCCTACAGCACACACCTGTGTATCCCATCTGCCACAGCACATCTGCCTGCAACGTCTGGGCGACTTGGCGAGGAATGGCTCTCAGCAATCGTCGACTTGAATGTCTTCCTGTTGCATGCCAGAATCCAGAGCCCAGGGAGAGACTGGCTCTTCTCAGGGGACGTGATGACTGCCACTTCTGGCTCCACCGGGTTTCATTACAGGGCACAATGGGGTCGGCTAGAGTCAAGAGAGAGCAAGAGCATGGTCAGAGACCAAGAGGAAAGGTACACACACCACGCTCTAAGGCAAGGCGGCGAAGTCACCTTGAAGTCATGTTTCAGAACCTTCAAGGCAACCACAAATAGGGGATAGTACTTGATTGCTGCATTAATCCCAAATGACTCTTAGAATTTTGTAAGCAAGGGAAGGCAGAGAAAGACTTACAGGAACTTTTACATAAGTCCTGCTGGGGGTCACGGTAATGGACATACACGGTAACCCTAGCAAGAACAAGGCTAGAGCAATAGGATTACAAGTTTAAAGCCAGCCTAGGTGATACTGCAAAACCCTGTCTCAAATAAATAAACCTCTTGTGACACCAAAACACCGAAGCTAAAAAATTAATTCTCAACAGTGGCCTGCCCTCAAGAGGCCGAAAAAGGCAACTGGCCTAGCAGCTGGCCACTGGAGTATCGGCAGCTTTTACAGTGCTGCACTCTAGACAGGAAGAAGAGGTCTTCCCCACTAAACACCTCTGGCCAGACTTCAGCAGGGGCTTTAAACTATGTATTGCCTCAAACTTGGTAATTTCCTTACTTACAATTTCCCCTTTCAAAACCTAAAAGAACCAGGAGGGCAAGAAGAGGGTCTGAGGCAACAGAATACTCTACCTAGTTTGTGTACTTTTGCCAAGATCTGTCAAATTGTACATTTAAATGATGAATTTTAATACCTGAAAAAATCGTTCATTTAAAAAAAAAAAATAGAAGGAGACTGGTCAGTGATGCCACACACCTTTAATCCCAGCATTCTGGGAGGCAGATTTCTGTGTTCAAGGCCACCTGGTCCACAGAGTGAGTTCCAGGACAGCCAAGGCTACACAAAGAAACCCTGTCTCAAAAAAACAAACCAAACAAACAAAATAAAAGTAAACTATTATGAGTTTTCATTTTACCTTCCAATGTCTATTATAATGAAAAGGAATCATATTTTTAAAACCTTACTTCATTTGTTAGTGTGGGGAGCATGTACAACTTTGTGTAGTCAGTTCTCTCTTTCCATCAGTCCCCGGGACTGAACTCAGATTGTCAGACTTACATGCAAACACCTTTGCCACCTTGCTAGTCCTCAAATCAGTTTTAAGAACAAGCCTGTACTCCTACAGTACTGGTTATAAAGTGAATGATTCTCATTCTCAAGGTTTCCAGACCATACCCATGAAAGTATGGGACCTGGAAAAGACAGACTGTCAATCCCATGAGGCAACTGTCTGACAACCCAACTCAAATCTACCTGCACTGAGTTTCCCCGAGTGACTCTAGTCTTTAAGTCCGCAGCAGGGACAACCCCAGAAATACCAAGTAAGAACACTTAGATGATGGGAGCGATGTGCTCTGCTTGATTTAGAACAGAGTACTCATCAAGAAAATCAAAGCAGAGACAGAGAGACACATACTGTCATACGAACAACCACTGGAAAAAACGGGGAAACATTAGCTTGCACAGGGGAAACTGGTAAAAAGAACAAGATATGTGCAAACAACAAAGTGATGATGTCCTGGCTAGTTACTACTGCTGTGATGAAACACCATGACCAAAGTACCCTGGTTTATTTTTGCTCATTATTCTGTTCATTATTCCAGGTAGCAATCCATCTCTAAGAGAAGTCAGGACAGGAACTCAAACAGAGCAGAAACCTGGAGGCAGAAACTCATGCAGAGGCCATGGAGGGATGCTGCTTACTGGCTTGCTTCCCATGGCTTCTTCACTCTGTTTTCTTATAAAACCCAGGACCACCAGCCCACAGCAGGGCTGGAGGTGGGATGCCTTCTCCATCAATCACTGATTAAGAAAATGCCCTGCAGAGCCCAAGTTTATATAAGGAGGCATTTTCTCAAGTGAAGTTCTCAGATGGCTTTAGCTTGTGTCAAGTTGATGTAAGCAAATCAGCATAGGTGGACATCTTCATGGTATTATTAAATATCTCATACAGAAAGATGTTATCTTTGTCTTAGGGCCTGTGGGACAAAACCTAGTGAAGTCCAAAGTAAGACAGATGTAGGCCAGCATTAAGCAAAACCTGCTGCCACACCCTGTGAGCACGATGCTAAGCACTGCACTTGGGCACTGTCACGTCATCCTCTGAGAACCAATGAGTGGTCAGTACCTCTGTGTTAGGAGAGAAAAAAGAGGCTAAAAGCGAAAAGGAGCCTCCTGCTCAAGACTAGAGCTAGCCACAGGAAGAATGGGCACGTGCAGAGGAAGCCCTGCTTAGGAGTGTCAGGGATAGTAGGTGACAATCCAATACAGACCCCACAGAAAGGAACCCCATCAGTCTAGGATTAGTAGCTAGAATCAGGCAACTCCAAGTCTCCAAAAGCATTTTTGAGTTCTCAAAGATAAATGAACAAAAATGAACAGGAAGCCGAATAAAATGACAATATACATACTTAGCTAACTGTACCAAGTTTGATCTGTTTTTTGCGGGGATTGTCTGGACAGTGCTGCTCTTTAAGGAGAAAAGATACAAAATATCCGAGCTAATGGGTCAGGTCCTTAAGAAATTAGATCCAAAGTCTGCAACTGACTCAAAATTCTGGTCTGCTGCACTGCATACACAGATCAGCTTTTTCAAAGACAGCACAACCTTAGAGGCTGTGGGCCTAGTATATAATGGACAAAGCAGGGAGAATAAAATGTCTTTCTCCTGACAATAAGAGGAACAGCAGGGCAGGGGATGTGGCTCAGGTGGTAGAATGCCTGCCTAGCCTGCAAAAGCTCCAGGTTTGGTTGCTAGCACCATCTAAAACTAAGTGTGATGCTGAGGGCCTATAATCCCTGTACTTAAAAGGTGGAAGCAAAAGGACCAGAAGTCTAAGGTCACCTGGAACTACATAACAAGTTCTAGGTCAGCCTGGGGTACATACAGCCTGTCTCAAAAAAGACAAAAGAGGGAAGGAAAGAAAAAAATATTAAACTGTTAAAGCGAGCAGTATGCAAACCTGGTTTGATAAATAGGAAAAAAAAAAGTCCCCCTGGTAGCATCTCTACATTACAGAAAACACTGCATCAAGTTTGTAATTTGTTACCTGAAGATGAATTCTACCTTTAAAAGCCCCACTGGAGGCAACACTAGGCCCAAGAAAATGAGAGCCAAATTCCATTGGCTCATACCCACAGGCCTGCCAATGCCCACAGACTAGTAGGGTACACCACAACACCCACCTCTAGTCATGATCATGGAGCTCAGAAACAAAGCAAAGCCCAGGAAAAAGATATTTTGCAGGAGGGCAGTAAAGATAAAAAAGCTGCACTCAAAAGCAAGGTCTATAGAAGTGTGAGGTGGCATACCTCTATAACCTCAGCATTTGTAAGGCTGAGGCAAGAAAACTGTCTCAGTTCCAGGCTGGAATATAGAGTAGGATTTTCTTTTTCTTTTCTTTTTTTAAGCCTTTTCACTCTATACATGAAGGACTGGTAGACTCAAAGTTGGAAGAGTCCCAGGTGAACACAGAGAGAAACCAGTTCTCAGAGATACAGGTCACCACCACGCTCTACTACAGACCCGCAGAGTTCCTCCCAGTCAGCAGGAGGCTGCTTTTCTCAAGAAAATCTGTCTACTGGGCATGGCAGTGCACGCCTGCAATCACAGCACTTGGGAGGTGAAGGCAGGAATACATGGAAGGTCAGGAGTTCAAGGCCAGCCAGGCTTAGCTTCATGGTGAATCTGAAGCCTGAGCTACAGGAAACCCTGTCTCAGAAAACAAAACAAACTAAGTAATTCTCTGTCAAGACAATATTCACCCCTGGAGAACTGTGAAAAAGGACAAGATACCCCCAGATCACCCTTAGAGTCTCTATGGGTGAAAGCCAAGCAATGAGCGGCGTGGCCTGTGATCGACCACCATACTCACACTCAGCAAACTTCAGGGAACGAAAGACTTTGCGCTGGGGGGTCACTCGCTTGATGTTTGGGTGGTCTTCAAGTGTGAGCAGCCCGGCCTTCTGCTTCTCCTTTATCTGAATCACCTCAAAATCACTAGGGTAGTCACTGGAAGGGTTGTTGCGAGGTATTATTCTCCAGTTGTCCACTTCACTGCTCTTCAGAGCACTTGAAATAAATGAGTTTCTAGCTTTGGCTGTGAAATATCCGTTGAAAGCCACAATATATTCTGAAATCAATAGCCACAGTAAAAATAAGTACTTACATACATGACAAAGTATACCTAATCTGAACCTTCCTTGGCAAAAGAACAATGTACCTCAAAGCCCACAGCAAAATAAGAGCAAGAAGAAAAATGAGTGTAAAATGCCACAGGCAGCAATATGCTAAGTTCCAGGTAAAGCCGACTCCCATGAATCTCAAGCACACAAAACATACAGTTCAAAACCAGACTCTATGTTTTGTTTGGTTTTCTAAGTAAGTATGGGTCTGATGAACGGCTCAGTAGTTAAGAGCATGGACTGTTCTTGCAAAGGGCCTGACTTCGGCTTCCGGCACTCCAGTCAGGCAACTCACAACCACCTGTAACTCTCGAGGTATAGGGAATCCTAAACCTCTAGTGTCCACAGCCATTTGCACACGTGTGTGCACATCCACACACACACAGAAGCAAAATACATTTTAAGATATATAAACCAGGGGGTTGGAGAGATGGCTCAGCTGTCAGAGAAGACCCTGGGTTCAGGTCCCAGGACACACAACCACCTGTAACCGCTCTACAGAATCCAAATGCCCCTCTGGCTCCAACAAATGCCAAGCACTCATGTGGTTCACATGAGTTGCAAAAGATGCAGGCAAAACATTCACACACATAAAACATTTGTAAATTGAAAAAGAAAAAAAAGTAAAATAAATAAGACCTCCATAGCCACCAAAATCTGACTAGAGTACAGAAATGTAGCTTTCCAACAAGGAAAGGAGCCCAGAGAATGTACAGCTGTTTGTTCTTTTTTAATTTTTACATTTTTATTTACTTATTATATACATACTGTTCTGCCTGCATGACAGAAGAGGGCACCAGATCTCATTATAGATGGTTGTGAGCTACCACGCGATTGCTGGGAATTGAACTCAAGACCTCTGGAAGAGCAACCACTGCTTTTTACCTCTGAGCCATCTCTCCAGCCCCCCAGCTGTTTGTTCTACAGAAGGTGAAGACAAGGCTCAGCACCAAGTCACAGACTTCCCGCCCTGCCCTCCGGCCTGAGGCTTGACCTCCACAGTGTCAGCTCAGCACAGCATAGCACCCTCCCAGCTACAATGGTGCAGTCAGTTCACTCCATGGGGAGAACACCTTAAGCAAAGGTTAATACCTACGTCATGTGCACTCACTACATTTGAAATTTACCAGAGCAGTGGAACGGAAGCTAATATTTATATTAAGTGTGAAAACAGTAAGATGAGAGGGCCCAACTCTGAAGACAATTCATTACCATATTCCACCACAGTTGAGGAGAATTCCACCTTCAAAGTCAGGTGGGAACAGCTAGGGCATGGGGCCTTTTCAAAAGCTTTTTTCCCCAGCCTGTCACCGAGATGCTTCTTCCCACAGAGCAAAACCACCAGCAGAAGAAGCCAGATGTTGACGAGCTTCATGGTCCTAAATGAATATGGTCACAAAATCGCATAAATTCAAATCGCACTAGGTTCTTCCTTGATCAGAAGTGAATTTCCGTTTTGGCTAAAAGCTGCAACCTTACTGATCAGCCATCCTACTGACTTGTCCAACATAAGGAAAACCTCAGTCCCATGGTCACCCACGGTCTGGCCCAAAAAGAGGCTTTCATTTCTTTCTCCGCTTCTTCTCCATCTTGGGCAGCGGCTTCTCTCATCAGGGCCGAGTCCACTGAGTCCTAAACTCCATTTGCACCAGATCCAAATCTATTGGGATGCCCAAGCAAGCACTCTGTGAGCCAATCTGAAACAAAAACAGCACATAGGGATGTCAGTAGCATCGTGACCAAACCACACATGACAGCTCCAGCTGCAATTTCAACGGAAGGGTCAGACAACCACTTACAAAACAGATAAATGCGAATACAACAACAAGTCCCATTGTTTTGTCTGGATTTACTTACTCCTCACTGCTTTCTTGGAAACCTGAGAAATATAGGGAAAAATAGGTGAGGAAGGTGACAAGACAAAGGCCAACAGCTGACAGGAGGATCGTGAAGCAGGCTAGTCCTGTCCTTCAGCTGGAAAGGAAGAGGCAAGTCTATCCTTCATGTCCCACTCTTCACTTCTTCCTCAGACTGTGTTTTCTGTCGTCTGCAGCTCTCCACAGTCCAGGGTATGTTGCCAATCAACATCTATAGTTTTTCAGTCAAAAGTCTTTACTATTTTCTAGCCAAGTCATTTTAATAGGCTTTTTAAAGACACTGCTTAAAAGTAGTCTTATTTTAAAATATTTTCTGCCAATTTTATGAAAAGGGCACAGAAGTTTTCTGCAGCCATTAAATTGATTTACCAAAGCATCAAACTTAAACTGAACCTGTTTAATCGGTTATAAAATCAGATAAGCTCTTTACTGAAAGTGAAATAGAGAACAATTTCTGAGGCCAGCCATTCCTAAAAAGTGTTATTTGAGTATAAGATTTCCCATGGGCTCAGAGCTCTCTCAAAATATCTAGAGTATAAGAGAACAGCTGTTCTTCACAACAGGGCCAGTGAGAGCCGAACTGCCACAGAGTGACCAGCAAATGCAGCTCACCACCATACCTGTGGGGAAAGGTTGGGGAGAAAGGGCACAGAACAAGTCAGGCCCTTGTACTGTTTAAAAAAGAGGCAGAAAAAAAAAAATGAGCCACCATCAACCAAGATGAGTCAGTTAAACTCATTCTTCTGGCAGAACTTTAGAGTAATAAAGAGGTTTTAGTTTTGGCTGCCTGTATGTACTTCCAAAACAGGAAAGGGATCAAACAGTAATGATCAAATGAAGGACCCAAAAAGCTGCCTAAACTTTACCTTAGGACCTTTACTACTGCACCACCAAGTCTACACAACAGGCTAGTCTAGAGCCCACATTAGAGACTGGGGCTGCTGCATGTTCTCACAGGAGAAACAACTATGTCTACTCAACAGGACAGCAAAGAAGGTCAACCACAAGAACAAATGAGTAAAACAAAGATACAAGTAGAAAGACCAGAGGTCAGCTAAAGCTATATATTATACATTCTGCAGAAGCCAGAGGCACTATCAGAACTATCAGAGAATGGAGTCTCAGAAAGCAACCCTTGAAGATCACTGGTTAAAAAATATACTGCCAGTCAGTGGTAAATAGTTCTAACGCTGGAGTAAGTGTGCACTTTACAAAAGGGACTAGAGAGGTGGCTCAATGGTTAGAGCACTGGCTGCTTTCCTAGAGGATCTGGGTTCCATTCCTAATACCCACAAGGCAGTTCACAACCATCTGCCACTCCAGTTCCAGAGGATCCAAGGCTCTCTTCTGGCCTCCCTGTACACATAAAAATTGGCAGGGGGGGGGGGGGAGAAGAGTAACAAAAATAATCTAAAATCCTTCTGCCTTAAGAGAAAGACTCTATGACCTAGTGGATATGGAGAATGAATACATACATACTTGTGAGAGCATCTTAGGCCTGACTGCAATAAATCCCTTTTAACACTGCCCTGGGTAACTCTACCACAGGTAGACAGTCACTCTCTATTAGGATGTGTTCTGTGCAGAAGAGAGAGCTGATGTTTACAAATTAGGCAGGGGCCTGATTCTAATACAAAGAAATGGAAAGGAATGAAATGAAGTTTTCTGAAAGAAAATAAGCAGCCAGGCTTTGTGGCACATGCATAATCCCAGCAGCAGGGCGGCAAAGGCAGAGGACCTCTGAATTTGAAGCTTGAGTGGTCTAAAATCATGTTCCAGGACAGCTGGAATACCACAAGGAAACATGCAAGGCAACCAACTCTTCTCCAGTCAGTTCTGGGAAATAGGACACACACACACAAAAACAAAACACAGGACACTCACTATGCCATGTCATTTTATAGAGTGCAGAAAGACACTTCCAGATGCTGTGGAGTTTGAGTGTGTATATGTGTGTGCACATAGGAAGGACGCCAGGGACACAGTGCTCTATGTGTGAGGAGGCAAAGGAGACCAACTCCAAACCAACTACCAGACAGGCAGGAAAGGAAGGTGTCAGAGTCACCTAAACTGAGACAAAGTCCCTTCAGGTGTGACAAGAGGAAGCTTTAGCTAAAGCTGACCTGGAAAGAGCTGCACATAGGGCACCATGGAGGGAGAAGTGGTGGATCTGGGGACAGGGAGAACACAGAATATACACAAGGCCCAATCGGGGAGGAGGCGGAAGAGGGAAAGAGGGCACAGAGAAGGGAGCTCAAGCAGAGACCAGGCTGAAGGAAGACATTCCAGAATGCAGGCATCAGCAGCCAAGGTGCGTGAGCACACAGAACCAGAGAACAAGGTTGCTGAGCAAGTGCTCAGAGCTCTGCATGGTACAGGCAGGAGGGTCAGAGCACTGGACAAACCTCAGCAGAAAACCTCTGACCCCACACAGCTTATCTCCCAGTGTGGGCGAGCAGATAAGAAAGAAGGTAGCTTAGCTGATATTAAGAGAGAGGAGGGAGCAGGACAGCTAAGAGGGGGCCTGTCAGCCTGAGAGCCACAGAGGCCCCAGAGAAGGGGCTCTTAATGCAAACCTAAAGGAAGAAGTCTGAAGTGAGAAGAAAAGCAAACAGGTCAGTGTGGCTGAGCAGAATGCAGAAAGGGAAGAGTGATGAGATGAAGAAGTGGGGACAGACCAGCGACAACTGTGTACGTCGGAGAGGACCTCAGTTTTATTTTGAAAGGGAAGGGACGGCACGGCTGACCACTCAGCCTTCTATGAATTCTAATGAATACCGGTGACAGGAGACAGGGACCCTGTGGAAGAGCATGGGTATAAACAACTCAGGGAAAGAAGATGCTGACTGGGACTTTACAGATAAGAACATGGAGGGAATGAGGGAGCGGATACACCTGGGACACAGAGTTAACAAAATGTAACTAATAAGAAAAATAAATTAAAAAAAAAAAAAAAAAGAATGTGGAGTCAACAAACTCCTTGTGACCAGGTGTGGGAGAATGCAGGTGAGGAATCAGAGCTACAAGGGTAACTTTGCCTCTGAGATGGAGAAGACTATAGGGAAGCTGGCTCAGGGGAACCCCTACACTACATGGGGACGAAGTTGTCAACAACTGTGTTTAGGATGCTCATCAACACTGGCAAGCAGGCAGAGCCTGTCAGAATCCTGGGCCATTCATCACTCCCTCTTTGGGGAAGATGACAAAGAACAGGAGACCAAAAGAAAACCAAAATCAGACTCCCATAAGAAAAGTCTGTCCACTAGCTGGGGCTACTGCTTTAGTGTTTAGAGGGAGTGGAAGATGGCTCAGCAGATAAGAGCATTTGCTGCCATGCCTGAGCAACTGAGTTCCACGGAACCTACACGGTACAAGGCACAAACTGACTCCCCCACATATGTCTGCTTTGATCTCCACACCAGTACCCATCCATATACAAAAAGTAAATAAGTGTTTTTAAATGTCACTGATCCCTCCCAGAAAAAGGTTATATTAAGTGAACAAATGACTCCGGTCTGACTACACTCTACCAAGCCTCATTTATTCCAGGAAACTGCTCGACACACTCTCCAGTGCTAGAAGGAAGTAAGGAAAAACAAAGAAAGCAGCTTCAGGTACAAAAGTTCCCTGAGATAAATGAGCAGGCTGGAAATGATCTGAAAAACAAACAAACAAACCCTCAAGCAGCTCAGCTGTGCAGACAGACCCAAGTAACCTGCTTACTGTCCTCAAAGGTGAAAAGTTCAGGCTTTCAGAAGACATTACTGTGACAGGCCTGTTGTAGAAAATTACAGAGCCTGAGGTTTCTGCAGGTTCCCAGTCCTGGAAGAAGGCTCAAACCATTTTTCTTTATGGCTTCTAATTCACCACTGAGCTGTTAGAAGGACAGTGCACAGGGCCTGGGTGCACTGGGGTGTTTTGAGAGATGTCCAGTGGAGCTCTGAAAGAGCAGACCGCACTTTCAGCAACCCACAGTACCCAAGATACGACCCCAAATCAGTAAACAGGAGCCACAAGACATCTCACTAGCTAGTGGCAAACAGGAGGACCATAACAGACATTAGTTACACAGAAAGGTGTATGTACACAGGCTCACACAGAAAGAAAGCCACTAACTTGTCCTTCCCTTTCTGAGTTACTACGCTGAGGACAAGAAAGCCACAGAGAACCAGTGAGAGCTTGAGTCTAGAGGTAAACAAACAAACAAACAAAATGAATGAATGAGCCATTAGTATTGAACTGAAACTGAAATGCTGGTACAAACTCGGGTTTTTTGATGTTCACACAGAGATGCAGAAATAAACAAGTGCACATTTGAATACATGCCCCCCTAAAGAGGACACAGCAGCAGCGCCATGTGCTGTAACCCCAGGAAGGAAGCCACCTTGTGCCCAGATGGCTGAGTACCATTCTCCAGGGAAAGATGTCAGGATCCTTTAAGAGTCAGCTCAAAGGCGGGTGGGACTAGATGAGATGACCGTGGAATGAACCCCTTGTACCAGACAGTGAGGTCGTGCTCACTCAGAGAATGGGAGATGCTGCCATTCTAGGGACTCTCACAACAATATGAGCTTCACAATATTTAATGAGTAACAGATCACAACTTTTTGAAAATTAAAACTGGGAAAACAGACCCCAACACAAATAAAGTGGAAACATAAGGGGAAACTCTGCTGTTTACATAGTTTCAAAATGCTACCCATTAAAATACACATTTACAAAGGGGAAGAGTGACTTCACCACATTATCTAAGCCAACCAGCCACAGGCAAAGGGCCCAGCTCGCCCCTTCCCCCAGCAGAGGCACTGAAAGAAACCCTG